GTTTTCTAAAACTCCAGATGGCCATGAGTAAAACAAGGGAAATGAGGTTTTTCTTCTTAAAGGTACAGTAGCATAAAAATAAGAAACAGAGAAAATATAGAGAAATATGACATTTCTGAAACAGGATCCAGATGGAGAATGTCACAGATAAGGCAGAGGTAGGGTTGGCTTCTCTCCAACGGGAAACTTGGTCAAACTAAAAAGTACAAGGATAAATGAAAAAAGGGCCAGATTCAGATTCTTCTGTTCTTAACAACTCCATGAAATTTGCATTAAAATTATCACTTAAAGACTAAATGAAAGTACAATTGTTACCTTAGCAATACAATTCTGACCTCTAGTGGGAAATTACATACTGACAAAAGGAAATAATCACACTGAACTAGTTCATGTAAGTCACCAAAATACAACTATAATCATAAACCATACATACTGATCACACTATTCCCTTTTAAGACAAGCAGTATTATTCAAAGCACAGAAAAACAATAAGTAGTAAATGAAAGCAACTAAAGACAGGAAGCAAGAGAAGAAGGAAAGGGAAGGGAATCTAACTTTGATCTCTTTCTCATGACATACTACCTAGAGCACAAGATGCCTTGCTAAGTGTTTTTGGAAGACTTATCCTCGTGATACTGCCTTAATTCAACTCACAGCCACATAGAAAGCTGCCTATATTTGTCCTTAGCTGTTCTGTTTTCAAAATAGTGTTTTCCCTCTTCTCACAGCAAAACATGTACAGTGCAAAAGACATGATGCTTCATTACAAAAAGAATTGTAATGAAGCATCATGTCATTACAATACATAATTGACACAATTGACAAAATCAAAAATATCATTTCAGTATTCACTGAAAAAAATAAATATACAAAAGCAATATATAAAAGCAAAATTGGGATTACGGGGAAAGCAAAAACTCTACAATTCTGAATCCAATTGCAGGTTGTAGGTAAAATTCCTTTCCAGCCCTGTCAACCAGTGACTGACATCTGTCCATAGCAAAGTGATGGTACAGCACTCTGACCATCCTCTTCTGTGGCACTGCTACATGTTCTTCGTGCTGGAGGAATGGGATGGGATTTCTGAAAAGACTATAGAAATCAGGCAGTTGGTTTCTCCACTAGCACCTCAATTTGCTTTGACATGGAGGATGCCCATCAAAGGACATTCCTAACAATGTGAATGTCCTCTGCTTTTAGTGATTGGAGGGCAGTTCTGTTGAATATCTACTGTAGTTGGCCTCTGGAATATAGAAGGCAGCAGATTATTAAACAGGATTGTAACCTCTTTACCCCTGGCATTTCTGGGGAGTTCCTTGATTTTCTGAGGAACTCTGGGAAATGAAGTGGGTAAAGAGACACCTGGAATGGCACTAGTGAACAATAAGAAGTAAATAGACTAGACAGTTATGAGTCTACTTTGTGGTGATAAAGGCAGTGAAAAGAAGTTACTTCTCTATCCTTTATAACATTTATAAAATGTCAGCCAGTTGCACTGTTTAAGGTGACCCACACCCTTCTTGGGAGAAATAGGAAGGACTAATCAGTGCAAGATGATTATCTGGTTCATCATTTAATGGATAAAATCACTCAATCCATTCCAAGTTGGAAACCAGATGGACAGATATTGTTTAAATGGCAGAAGTAGTCCTGCAATATTGCCCGGGAGGTTTTCGAGCCTATGACTCCTGAAAAAGTAGACAGAGTTCTCTGTGGCCTTAGCTCTGTTGCTTACAAGGGCTCTCTGCCTTTCCTGGCTAATCCCCCAGGGAGGGGGCAGGGAAGTTAATCTAGGCATTTGTCAATGCTTCTTTGTGGGAGAGGGTGATGTCAGCAGCCTTGAAAGAGGCACTTGTCTGCCCCTCATCAAGAAGTCTATCTATATTAGAAAACTACCTTCCTATATCCAAGCTTCTCTTTGTGGAAAACTAGTTGGGACAACAGTTCAGAGACCTTTGGAAGAAATAGATTAACTAGACCTATGGCAGTTAAGACTGAACTGGGCATGGGACTGAAACTGCTTTGGTTGTCCTCATACCCACTTTTAGGTTTTCTCCTATCACATCACCTCTTGATAAGTGGGGACCTTCAGCAAGTATTCTCTATACTTTCATTGGTTACTCTCATTTGGTGAGACTTGAATGATGTAGGAGTTCAACCATCCTCGTTCTACTAGATGATGGCTTTGATACCATTGATCACACTATCCTTCTGGACTGTCAATGAGGATAAGGAGGTGGAGGCATCCATGGGAGGTTCCAGTTGGTTATCATGTGGGTTGGGAGAGGATGGGCCCTTGGGAGTGGGAGGCCCCACTTTTATGGGGTGCCTTAGGGCTCAGTCCTCTCCCCTATTCTGTAACATCTATAGGAAACCATTGGGAGAGATCATCTGTCAATTCAGGGTAAGGTTTCATCAGTATGGAGAGCCAGTTGGGTGTAGTGGTTAAGGTACCAGGCTAGAAACCGGGAGACTGTGAGTTCTAGTCCTGCCTTAAGCATGAAGCCAACTGGGTGACCTTCATCCAGTCAGTCTCTTTTAGGAAGAGGTAAGGGCAAATCACTTCTGAAATCTTGCCAAGAAAACTGCAGGGACTTGTCCAGGCAATTACCAGGAGTCAACACTGAATCGAAGGCACCAAATAAATAAATAAATAAATAAAAATTCATCAGTATGCAGATGATACCAGTTACACATCTCCACTCTGGGCTGAGTTGATAATGCAGTGGAAGTCCTAACTGAGTATCTGGAGGCTGTCAGGATCTGGAGGGAGAGAAACAGGCTCAGATTCAATGCAAGCAAGAGTTTCTGGCTATTGGTTCAGGAACCACTGCTGGAAATCTTTGACTGGTGGGTTAGTGCTCCCCCAAGGAGACCAGGCCTGCAATCAGAGGGTTGAGCTGAATTCATGACTCCTACTGGAACAGCACATGGAGACCACAGCCAGGAGAGCTTTTGCTCAACTTAGGCTGGTGTGCCAACTGTGGCCTTACCTAGGCACTCACACCCTTGGCATCTTCCATATGGATTACAATAATTTGCTTTACATGGAGTTGCCCTTGAAGACTACACAGAAATTTTAGTTGGTGTGAAGTTCAGTGGCCCATATGCTTACTGGACATTGTCCTAACTGCTATGTATCATACAGCTGTTCGATACACTGGCTACCAATATATTTCTGAATGCAATTCTGGATGCTGGATATGGTTCAGAGCCTTAGCATCTGCTATACTGCCTACACATACAGAATCTGTTCACCCAGTCTGATATAGAATGTCAGAGAATCTGTTGAAGGTCCTTGCCTCTTGAGATGTCTGGTGCCAGAAATGCTATATTAATTGTAATTTTTAAATACACACACATACACACAGACACACAATTGCATATTGTTATTGACACTGGCTGTAAATGTTTCTAAGAGTCACCCATGGGTATCTAGTGCAAAATACAGGTTACCAATATCTTATCAATTAACAATTGTAAAACCATTCTGTTTGTTGAGATCTTCTGAGATTGTCTGAAACCTTTTGGTGAATTAGCAATGTTCAGCAATTTCTCAATGGCACTGTTAAAGTTCTGTTTTCCCAAAATAGTCACTTTGAAGTCTACCATAGAGTATCCTGGGGCTGAAATGGTCTAATGCTACTTTGTCTTTGGACTGAGTCCTGAATGTCAAATGTGTGCCCTTTAATTATTTTGTGTGACATTTGTCTCATTTGCCCTATGTAGAATCCAGAGGGAAATTGCTGGCAGATAATGGCATAAATCACATTGGAGGAAGAGCATGTAAAGGCACTACTAATCTTCTGGATACTTCTTGGGGACTATGATGGTTCTCTTGGTGTAGATACATTTGACATCAAGATCCAAAGACAAATCCAGGACAAATAGGTTGATTATGTATCTGTATAACAAACCTATCTTCCCACCCTCACCCCAATTTGTATCCTAGCCACTCTGCATCTGATGAAGTGAGCTGCAGCTCACAAAAGCTTATGCCTTTTAATAAAATTTGTTAGTCAAAAAAGGTGCTACTAGTTCTGATTTCTTGCCACTAACACACCTCTCCTCATACAATGAGTACAAGAGTGCTCACCTGAGGGAACAGTGAATTTTTGTACAGTAGGAAAGAAGAGTTTCAGTCGAATGATTCATTTCCCCCCCCCCTGAAATTGCTTTTTTCCACTTCTCTGACAGAGATGGGGTGATGTGAATTGAGTAAGCACAGGAAGTGTTTTGATTGAACGTGTAGCCACTTCAGTCCTTGATGTTGAACAAAACCTGGAATAAAACTATTAATTGGCAGAATTTGAAGGAAGCAGGATGGCTATACAAATGCATCAGGCACACATACAGAAGAGGCATCTGGTTGAATCACTTCCCAGCCCAATATTGTCCTGAAACACCAAGGGAAACCATAGTTCATAAATCCTGACTTGTAAACCAGCATAGAATGAGACTAACAAACTCTTTGCAATTTATGAGATGCAGAATGTGGTATGTATATATACACATTTCATGCATCACTTGATAATGCCTGGTGATGTCTATGGCCAGTATCACCGCCTTTATTTCCTATGAAGTTTCAGAAAGTTTCCATTCTATTATTTCCTATGAATATGCCTGTCACTTGGTTAAAAAGATCACATCTTTTCACCCAATAAAAGAACCACATCACACAGGAAGAGCGTTGAATTCCTTTCATCTATGCTATCTTTTGCTTGTGAGCGAATATGTTGCAGTAAATTATAAAAGAGCAGCGCTCTTTCGTCCTGGTTTCAGCTCAGCGGGAAGAGATAAAGGGTTCTATTAACAGTGCCGGTTAATTGATATCAATGTATATAATGTGGAGTTTTAGAACTTGCCAGATCAACTCTAGCTCGAATTAATTTGGTCTCCATAACAATGCACAAGGTGTAATTCAGCCGTCCTTCGTTCCTATGACAACCGCAGTGGCGTTCCATCCGGCTACGTTAATTCCCATCTAAACGATTCCGGAAGTGCTTACAGCGGAAGTTGCAAGCGGGTGGAAAAAAGAGGACGGTAGGTTTTAATCTTGTCTGTTACGGATGGGTTTTGTGTGCGAGTGTTTCCTTTTTGTTCTGTTTTTTTTTAATGTTTTTTAATGTTTAATGTCTTTTAATGTTCGGAAAGGAGAAACTATTTACGGCTGCGGGATTGTGAAGCAGGACGGTAATACTACGTATGCGACCTTTTTGCTCTTTGGTGTTTGTTTATTTCCACAAAAAAATATGCACTGAGATGGTCTCGTTGTTGCTGCATAGAGATTTCAACACGAGATTTCCCAATTTAACACTTTAGTTGCTATATCATGCTGATTGGTAAAATAAATTCTGTAGGAAAAAAACATCAAAAAGGTAGGTAATTTATAAAATAGTAATGCCAAGGTGATAAGAAAGACAGCACAGTTCTGTGTGCTTTGCTATAGGAATCTGCATCTGCTGCATCTAAAGAGATTTACATAGATATATGTGTATAGTAATGCAGCCTAAGATTTATTATGGTAAAAGTTATTATGGAGAGATGAAACTAATTGTCTGGTTTAGTAGATATGTATTTTTAAGCAAAAGGTAAATAGTATATTAATAGCTCAGTTGAACCTGTTTTCCTTCTAATTTTGTTTCCTGAAAGATCACTAATTGTGGTTATGTCAGTCAGTTGATTAGTCAGATATTGTAAACTACTTGCAAGTCAACTACAGTCAAAATTTTCAAGTATACCATTCTGTAGAGATGCTAGTTTACTTTTTAATTTCCACAATGGTGTTACTAATTCACAAGGGTAGCAATAAAGATAGCTAATATTTTAAATCTTAAAGTATGGTACTTGATATCTAATGCATCTGATATTACAGGTTGAAGCAGGCAAGTAGAGAATTGGGGCTCCTGGAGGGTGCAGTGCATATTTCTTTCCTCAGGTACATCCCAATTTGCAGTCTATTTGCATTTTTTGCCAATTCAGAAGTTAAGAGGAGCTGTTGAGAAATGAGTTGTACCTTCACATAACTTGCATTCCTAGCCCAAGCTCTGTTTCTTTTCAGATGGAACCGTCTTGAATTAGCTGATGAATAAGTTTCTAAAGATTAACCTCCATGTTCATGAATGTTAGCCTTTAAGTGCACTATCAGAGCCAACTGATAATGCTGTAGGAAGAACAAAAAGCAAATAGTTTCAAGCTTATTCAAGCAATGCACTAAATTATTATAAAACACAGAGGCTGTGTGAATGTACTTAGTGGTTTTTAGGTATTTTGGAATCAAAAGATATATTCATATATTGCCACTCCAGTGTATATCTCCAATCTATAGTTCTGTGGATTTCATGTAAATCTGAATATGTTACTATGATACTTTATATATTAAAATTGTGTATATTTTGTAATTTAGTTTGATAAATATCTTTGACTATACCCTCATTACTTTTACCAATATTAAAATAATAGATTTTGGATTATTCTCTTTTCCTTCATTTGGTCCCATATCTTTTCAGAGGCTACCTTAACTTTCAGGAGCAGATTGAATGAGCATGCACAGGGTGATGGAATATTAAGAATGCATTCTTCTAAAAGAACACTACTGGATCCACTGCATGTAATTTGCCTGTGTTTCATTTTTAGAAAATGTATATTTATATTTCAAATCATTGAAAAAATAGTTTTCTAGAATCCAAATTTCTTTTGTGTGGTAAATATTTCCTTATTTCTTATATTGTACAATACACTTTTATTTCCTTATTTTTCTCAATTATAGAATTCTTAAACATGGACCTTAACAATTCAGACCCTGCTTCTTGTTTCAGAATCTAAAAAAATAATTTTTAAAAAGTCATTGGCTTTCTTTATCAATGAACTTCAGGCATTATGGTAAGATTTTGTTTTTGTGCTGTTGGCTTTTTTTTTTTGTTTGGTATTTTAAATAATGCATGGCTAAAGAAAAAAATATAAAGTATTTGTTCCTTTCATTCTTTCCAGTTTGATTCCATGTATCAGGAACTTCAGGAACTGGTTCTGAAAATAATTGCCTTGATCTTGGTTTACTTGTATGCACAAATGTTATAGCTATGTACTTCCTCTTCCAATTATTTCAGTTAATTCAAGAAGTCTAGATTTATTTTATTATCATTTTCCACTATATCCAAACTAGAAGGCCATGATTCAGTTTCCACCTACTAACTTGGATATGAAATCATACCCTTCCAATAGAGAGTTGATTCCTAGACTTTTCATCCAAGAGAAGTCAAGTCAGACTGGATCCTTATAGATGACAAGATAAATGGAAAAATGTGAAACTGATGAAAAACAATTTCAAAAAAGTTGCCAAGATCTACCTATTTCTTCATTTTATTTTTCAAAAATTAAATGCAAGTATCTCAGGCTTTCTGAATATAGTTATACTTAATTCTTTGCTTTTTTGTAAAGAGCTTTATATGGACTGCAGTTGTATGTTTTTAATATACTTAGAAGAAAATATCATTTTTTTTTTACTCCTTCCATTTAGGAAGTGGATTTCTGATTAATGCTTTGACGAGTTAAGTATTTATGTCAATGCCAGAGCTTAGACTTTCAAATCTAGTTATTTACATGATTTGAAATAACTATATTTCACAAGTCAGACTGATTTCAGTCAATATTGAGTGGAAACTCTACTCAGCATTACCATGATTAATATCAGAACTGACCAAAGCCTACAAGGTGATGAAGCAAAGTGAATGGGTTTGTAACATATGTGGGCAGGACCAGGATTTTTTTTTTTTGGACTATTTTCCCTTTTTTAAAAGAAAGCTATATTAAGCTATTTTAAGGATGCTTTATAGTTTTCATGTATTTCTTGCCTCAAAATTATAGAAACAGTGCCACTGTATTTTGGCAGTTGTGTTAGAGATTTGACCAGTGGCCTCACGTTTTCTACCCTTGACAGTGATACTTTGATATATCTTAGCTTCCCTTCTCCTTCTGCAGTTTCACAACCAAATGTAGATAAACTTCCACATTTAAACCAATACTGTGGTAATGGATTGCTTTCAGTCCAGTCCTCACTCTACTTTGAAGACACGCTGAATTGCAATAGGACTTTCTTCTAGCTTGTTACGTTAAGGATTGTAACCTTAAAATATCAAATAATATGTTTTTGTTGATTAATTACAACATTTCATTTGCTGAATGAATTATATTACTTATAAGAATAAGAATGTTGTTTTCATTTTTGCAGCAGCAGACTTTAGAAATTGCACTGGATCGTGCTGAGGTAAATTGCAGATGGTATAAATTATATAAGTTTATGATTATAGTACTAGCAGTGGAAAAAGTCATACTTGTTCTGTTCCTAATAGTTTCATTAGAAGTATATGAAGAAATATATAATTAAACATTTAAACTTTATGTTATCATAAACATTTACAATAAAAACTATTCAGGCATAATAATGCCCACCACACTCTGAAAGGAGGCAAGAGATATAGTTTTGTAACTGATGACTATAGCTTGAATATTTTCAGGTTTCTCTGATTACAATTTTTGTGGGAGAAGTAATACATTGCAGAATTCAAAAAGGGAACATTTAAGCCTTTTGGTGAAGTCTGTAGGAACTGTGTGGGTGTGGTTGAGAGTATAATTGGGTAACATTTGGGAAAATGCTAAATACATATTCTCTGTCCATTTTCCTCTTCAGTCCTGTTTGACATTTCAGTAATAAGTGAATTGTGTTCTACAACTGTACCAATATTTGAAATAAAAAAAATAGGAAATAAACTTTTTTACTGAGTTGCTCGGGCATTTATGTATTGCTAATATATTTTTTATGAATACACACATGCACACATATATATTTGTGTCTACTTTTTTTTCAGTATATCATTGAAAGTGCTCGTCAGAGGCCTCCAAAACGAAAATATTTGTCTGGTGGGAGGTAAGAAATAGTTAGTATGCTTTTCTTACTTTAGCTGATGGAAGTGTTTACTCAAAAGGCTTTTTTTTTTTAATTCTAGAAAATCAGTATTTCAAAAGTTATATGAATTGTATCTAGAGGAATGTGATAAGGAGCCTGAAATAAAGGTAAGTGAAATCTCATTGTCAAACATCTATTATATGCTTTTCATAGTGAACCAGTAAAGGCCAGTTGCACATAACTACTGTGTTTATAGGATGTAGCAGGATTAAAACATTCAGTGAAATCTCAGCATGGTTGGGTTGTCACATGAAGAATTTCTACCCTGGAATAAGGAATAGATATTCACACATGCTGCCTGATGTCTGTTCAGTTTCTGACTGAAGGTGTCAGCAATGGGAGGAAGAGCAACTTCTTTCTGAATGTAAAATATGGGAGTATTAGCATCTAAATTAGAAGAAGAGTATATCACACAGTTCTTCGGCACCTCTTAGACAGGACTAGGACTTCCTATAATTCTTCCAAACTGGCTTGTTGGTAGGTTGAGTTAGTGATTATCAGTTTTTTTTTTTTTTTGTGCAGAGAGCGCAGAGAACCTTAAACAATAAGATAACTCTTCATGTTGCTCAGGAAGGCAGATGTCACATGACCTAGATTTTTTGAAAAAAAATTCTGCTTGGTGCTTCTAGATTTTGCCTGTTTTCCCTTGCTATTCAGCTTCCCTCTTCTGTTCTTTTGTTTTCTGCTACTCAGTTCCTATCTCTTTTGTCTTCCTTTGCTCATGGGCCTGATGAAGAACAATTTATTTCCAAGTCTGCAAATGAAAAGAAAGCTTTAGATACTCATGTTGAGAAATAAATAGCAAACTGCTCCCTATGTGAAAGGGACCTCAGCTGAGCAGAAGTGATGCTAATTTTCAGAAATAGGGATGCTAAATAATAAAAAAGGAGGTTATGGCGTGCATTGTTCAGGAGTCCTTTGTTTTTGGTTGGATAGAGTAGCATTATTCAAAAATGTAATATTGTGATTTGTCAGGCCCAGCCCAAGAACAATGGTGAAATAGTCCAGTCGAGTATAGTTCCTTTATTTGCTTACACCTTATAGGCAGAATCTTGCCAAACTAAATCTATACTACAGCAGCTAGTGGATATAACCTGGGAGATTCTAGGAAGTGGCTCTCCTGAACCTCTTTCGCTTCCCACACTCCCCTTGAGGACTGCATTGTCTTTTATCTCCTTTCCCCTTCTGGAAGCACCCTCCTGATAGCCTTGATCTCCCATATCACTCTCCTCCTCGTAGATACATTTTATCACATGAATGCAGTCTAAAGCACCAGGTTGGGAAATTCATTAGAGCAGTTTATTAATTCAGAAAAAAGTGTAACTATTTTGGAGAATGGTCTGAAATAATACAGATCTTGAGAAAATTCATACAATTCAGAATAATAGAACTTTGCTGATCACAGCTAGTTTGAGATAGAGGACAATCCAGGTACCTCTGATTTTCCCTCGAGTTCAGTGAAAGAAATGCAAGATCCAGGTATGCTTTTTGTGTTTTAAGTTCTAATTTAATGAATCATCTGTTTGCAGGATATCTTTTTTGAATGCTTTTGATTGTGGGTTTTGTTTTTTGTTTTTTGACCTTTGGTGCCTGCAGCTAAACACAGTGTCCCAGTAAGGTTTACTGCATTGGTGAAATCACTTCTCAGTGATACCATATGGGGTAAGGCCTAAGTGCTGATGTTTCACTTAACTCGCACAGCACTACTCAGAAGTCATATCATCAATAAACAACAGCCCTGAAAACCTACACTCCAACTCTTATTGTAGTTGATTCATAAGAACCCCTTGTTAACGCATCTAAGTTAGTGTTAGCTTTTTGTCACTCTTTGAATTTATTTATTTGAAACATTTGTTTACCATTTCTTTTTTTAAAAATCACAAAGTCCTCATTCAGTGACCATTTGAAGTTACAGTGGTGCTGAAAGAATAACATTATGACCAATGCCTGCATTTATGACCTTCGCAATGTCTCTCAGTCATATGATCACTATTACAATCAGTACGTGACTGTCCTGTGCTCCCTTGTCCCCCCTCCCCTTGCAGAATGGAGAGATTGGAGAGGAAGGGATTGAGAGTAAGCAGGCAAATAATGGAAAATACACATTGAAAGGAATGCAGTGGCACCAGAAGCCTTGAGTGTGCTATGCAAACAGCTCTCTGTATTCTCCATTGTGTTCCTGCTTACTCTCTTGTAATCCCTTCCTCTCCAGTGTCTCCGCTCTGCAAGGTAGGGGGGAATAGGTCAGGCACAGGAGAAATTACTTGGTTTTTTTCTCTTTTTTTCATGGGCTTTATGTGTAGTATGTTTGCAGCTCCCAGCCCCAACCATACTCGGGGCTGCCAGCACCACCACATTCCTTTTGATATATATTCCCCATTTTGTGCCTGCTTATTCTCTTGTAATCCCTTCCTCTCCAAGGAATTAATTCCCTTCTTGCTAATTATCCCAGCACCAGGGTGAGCATTCCAAAGAATGAGGGAGTGGGTAGGAGCCAAACAAAACCTGAAGGTATGAAACTGACTGGCCATCCCAGTGCCAGGGTGAGCATTCCAAAGGGTGGGGGAGTGGGGAAAAGGAAAACACAGTTGTGCTCACGTGATTTCCCACTTAGTGACTGCTTTGCTTAATGACAGAACTGCCGGTCCCAATTGTGGTTGCTAAGCAAGGACTGCCTGTAGTTATATTTAATGATTGCAGGATAGAAGCTGGGGACAGATGCCACTACCAAAAAGGCTAAGCTGGGTCGCCACCAACTGTTAATTTGCATCTGCAGTATAGAGAACTGGACCTCTGGCTTCTGGTGAGGATTCATGGCGAACTAGATATCCCCAAAGGCATGGGGACAGCATTATGGTGGAGATCAGCAGCCAGATCAGCGGAGATTGGCCGGAGCAATCTTTCCAGATAAAGGAGAGATTGTGAGGTTGCCCACTTGCACTCCAGATGGCTGCTCCTCGTGAGTAGACTGCAGGAACTGAGGTTTTTGCAGTCAGCTTGTGAGTTGAGTGGGTGGGATTTGATTTCAACCAAGCTCACAGCCATAATTGCAGCCTACTGTATGGACACAAAGTTCATCCGAGCCTCATTTCTTAACCACTTTTGAATGTAATGAATTTATAACTAGAGATTTTCTAAGTGGGGGGGATAAGATTCTACTTGGTGAGCTATAAGTCTTTCTGGATTACAAAGGAATAAAGAAAAGGCTTTTAAGGACTTAAATTTTTTTGGCAAAAAGCTTAACAAGGAACCAATGTAAGAAAGTTTAAAATGGATAAAGGGGATAGTTATTTTGAAAGATTATTTTTTGGTGAAAGTGCTTTTGAATAAATTAGAATTAAATTAGACAAACAAACCAGACCTTCATGGGGATGCTTTTGTTTACTATTAAAGAGTGCAGACCATTGGCAGATTTTACAAAACAAAAAATGATGTGATGGAAGGCATGAATGGGGAGGATTCTGGTATGAAGCTTCAAGGTTACAGGGAGGGGGAGTGACATTCCAAGCATCTCCTCAGCCCCCAGCTGGACTGTGGGAAAGTAAGGAGGAAGAGACTGGCCCCTCCCTAAGGGCTTGATGGTTATAGTTGCTTTCATTGGGGAGTTAGTCTGGTGAGATTCTGTCTTAGGTGCAAGCTATTAAAGAAGCTGAGCTGATTTTCAGACTCTCCTGTGATTCTTGGGCTGAACCTGACAGATAAAGGTAATATGAGCCACACTGTGATGCTGACTGTAATTATGGGAATATGGAATTTGGTGCTGATTGTAACTATGGAATGCCATTAGAGAGGGAAGTGTTAAAGGTGCAGGAAGACAAAAGAGAAAATAAAGGGGAACCTTGCCTTTTCTTTTTCCCTTGTTCTAGACACTTTCCTTTTTGGATTATAATATCATAATGACAACCAGAAAAGCATCAAGTACGGAGGGGAGGAGAGGATCGCTAGAGCAATTTGCAGGGAAAGGAATTATATCAGATTTGCTTCAGAAAATGTTTGAGGAATTGGGGAATAAATTAGCTGAATCACATGATACTAAATTGACTAAATCACTTGATACCAAATTGACAGCTTTTGAAAAAAGAATGGATAAAAGACATGTAAAGATGAAAGAGGAGATGAAAGAAAAAGTTAAGATGGAAATCTCTATAAAACAAGTGTCTGGAGAGATAAAGCAAGTTAATGATAAAATGGAAATTTTAGAGAGTAAGACAGAAGTCATAGAGAGTTGGAAAGAGAACTAGATAGCTGTGTTGGAATTGAGAGAGAAGGAATTTTGTTTGAGAGCAATCCCAGAGGATTCTGATGAAGATATTAGAGAAAAGATTATTAAAGCCTTGGCAATTTTTTTTGAATTGGGAGGAGGAGGATAGAAAGGCAGAAATTGATAAAGTATATAGAATAAATTCCAGTTTTGCGAGAGCAAGAAATGTTCCAAGAGATGTTTTGGTGCACTATGTTAGGAAGAAGACAAGAGATCAAGTTTTACAGCATCATTTTAATACAAGACTGAAGATGGATAATACAGATACAATTGTTCTTAAAGAAATTCCTATTAGGATTACGCATAAGAGAAAAGAGGCTTATTTTTTTGACTGAGAGATTAAAGTAGTAAAAGATCCCATTCCAATGGAACAAACTGGAAGGTGTGATCTTTACTTTTAAACAGCAGAGGTTTTGACTGAATTATGTCCAGAAGGTGAGGGAATTTTTAGAAAAATTCAAAGAGGAATTGGAGGAGATCCAAATGGAGGTGTCAGAGGAGTCTACACCAAAAACTCCAACAGGTGCAAAAAGAAACTGAAAGGGATTATGCTGAACTAGGCGCTACAGGTATTGATTTTTCTAAACCTTTGACTTGATAATGGATTACAAATGCTTAACGTAGAATATGAATGGAGCAAATGTTCCTCGAAAGCAAAAAAAACCCCACAAGTTAAATATAAGATGCTACAAGTTGTGGAGGAAACAGGAGGATTGGGTTTACCTGATTTGAAATTGTAATTTGCAGCTTGCTCAAACCAGGATGAAAGAGTGGGTGCTGCTGAGAAATAGAAGGCTTTTGGAGTTAGAAGGACATGACCTGAGATTTGGGTGGCATGGATATTTGTGGTATGATAGTCAAGATCAG